GGACAGCCTACAGGCCGCAGTTTTGGTTGGATCTTTTTCATATATCATAGAGGGGTTGGTAATGGTCCAAGTGAGAAGTGATTAGTTTTTGGTGCAGATCCGGATCAAACTGTGGATTCTGGATCACTTTGAAAATTCCATTAACATTGGGAGACTTTGGCATTTTCTTCAATAACTCCATCAAAAACATAATGAATCACTTGAACATCAACACACTATAGCCCTCCAGGGAGGGCAACAACAATGAGTTCTTTGATCTGGATCTGGATTCGGATCCGGATCTGACAGATTAAAAACCTCTAAAACATCGGCCATATTTGAAGGTCGTGGGCGCGGGCGGGGTATGTGGCCTCCAGACACACCCTCCAGTTTCTTTTCATTGTGTTCTAAGTCTGCTCTACATAAAGAGCTCTATACCTTCTACCTTGTGTAAAGTCCAAGATCTCTTCCTTTACTGTGATCTTTAGAGCCTTGTAGTTTGTGAATGAACACTATCCAGTGTGCCCTGTGGGCTACCCCTAAATTGCCTTCCTAGTACTGATCACAGACCAGTCTCTGACCACGTCATGTACATTCCTTTTGGATACTGTTTGTTCATTACCTGACTCAGACTGCCCCTTAACACTCTTCTGCCTGAGCCTTCTAAGTTATTATGGTTTTGTTTGTGCCAACTGCAGCGGAATTTTGCTATTAAAGTGCCTTAAAGCTTTTCAGTGGATCTGCGCCTGCTTCCTTCTCTGAAGTCGATAACAAAGATGCGCATTTGCCTTTGCTTATAGTATCAGAGCACAAGTCCAGTCCATTGGCTGCAGTTAACTGAAAGAATAAATCAAATCAAATGTTATCTCCATACTGAGCACTAACAATAGAGCATGCAAAACATTACCCAGTCGCATCATGCCTATTGATTTTTAAAATTTTTTTATTTAGCCTCTAAACAGTTATGAAATCACATTTTTTCTTAAAAATTTGCCATTTATCCTCTGCCTACGATGACTTTCTAATGAGTCGCAAATCTTTTTCCTCCATGTTGTCAGTTATTTCCGTGATTTGGTCTACTCTGCAGATACTGGTATCCAGGATAATATAAAAAGCAATGAATAGCAAGGTCCAATGAAAATTCTATGGAGCTGAGAAGCAAATAAGAGAGAATATTTCTTTCCTTTCAAAGAATGCTTTTATTGACCACTGAGAAGGCTAGTAAAAAAGTTGATTTATACCCTTTCACCAGATTCAGTGTAGTGCACTGACAACAGGGTCAGATTCTTTTCACAACCTACTTAATCTACGCATAGCAACAAGGGTATTCAGGTACTGTACATTCCTTGGTTCAGAGGAAAACTGACAGAGCAAAATCCTTTGGCCGTCTCAGACCTTGTAAAGATCTGTTCTAAAAGACATAAAATGCACCGCAATGAAAGGAAATGCTCATTAAATAAGTGTTGCCAAAGTACAACCCCACAGAAGAAAGTTTTTAACACTTTTGAAGAATTAATAATGGTTTGTGAATGTTTGCCCTGAAGGACACTGGTCGGATGACACTGTAAACTCTCTCAAAGTCTTGGGGGAGCTTTTAACAAGGTTTTTAAACATTTCACAAGAGCAAAATTGCACTACCTGGTGCTTCGCAATGTGACCTTTTGGTGTAAAATGAACTTTTTTTGTCTTACCATTTGCAATACTTAGTTGGTTTACGTACAATGATTTCTCAACCTGTCTAAAGTAGCTTGCTACCAAATCAGGGACAGAAAACAGATCCCCAGTTCATCGATCCATGTGTCCTCAGTGCCTATCTGCCATTCAATTGCCATTTAGTTAAATATCATAAATGCTCTGAGAGTTGGGAGTGAGCTGTAACTTAATTGCCCTCATTGAAGCTACAGTAGGAAAGAAAAGTTGGAACTGCAAATAAATAAACAGAATTAAAGGTAACAAAAGTGCTGGTGAAACTTCCCATTTTGGGAAGTAGGTAACATTATAATGATCGGCTGGTTTGCAAATGACTCTCATCAGTTTTAACCAAAGGCTTTTGTCATTTTCATTGGGATGAATCTGCTGTGAAAATAGTTTGTGAGGTAAAAATTTTCCAGTCGGTAGTTATGTGTGGTGGGAAAGCCACTATTACTGGCTACCAAATTGCTAAGATGGCAAATAAGGAAGGGACAAACTAGCTGACGATCTGCCTCGTTGAAAAGACTGTACTTGGCTCATAACAGGACGGTGAATCCAGGGGCCTCATTTATAGAATTTTATACTGTATAAATGCCATATAAAAAGTGCGAATAGGCACGAGACGCTGGAAACGTTGTTTGCTTGACAAAAACTGGATTTCAACAGCCATGCATTCACACACATGCAATTTCAGCTTTTTGTGTGCACATTTGAACAAGCCTCATACCCTGCCTCGTTACCTCCCACAATTGCCCAAAATAGGTTGATGCAAATTATCTCAAAGGACATTTTTCATCATTTTTGTGAGTGTCTTTTTAAGCCAGATAGGGTTAAAGTTTCCCCCTTTGGGTTGCCATTTGGACTTAGACATCAAGTTATCATGAGACGTGCCGTCATTCCATTTATCTTTTGAAACTTAAGCTAACCCAGATTTCCTTTTCGTGAATTTGATTCAAACTTAGAGTAAACTGACAAACTGCCTCGAAATAGCCATTGTGACAACTCGTGCACCACTTCCACGTGTTTTGCATGAGTGTCTTTCCTTGCATGCCAATTTTAGCAATGAAAAGGCTGAGCATTTTCCATTCGTCATCACTTGATATATGAAGATGGTTTGATGACAACTGAGCGTCCAAAACTGTAGAAGGGCCATTGGCTGGCTACAAGATGGACAAACTCAGAAATTGTGGGTCAGTGTCTAAGGTCGCGTTCACACCAGCTTTGTTTAGTTCGGTTGAACCGAACTCTGGAGCGTTTACCCCCTTGGCGCAGTTCGTTTGGGCCGGTGTGAACGCATTCCGAGACCTCTGGTGCGGACCAAAAAAGCGAACTCTGGTCCGCTTGCTGGAGGCGGTCTCGGGCCGCTTGCAAATGAACTCTGGAGCGGTTCATTTCTGGTGTGAACACTATCCACACCAATCACAGGAAGCGTACCATTTGAAGCGCCGTTTCCTGTTTTGGGGACTGGCAAAATTAGCAAGCTGTGGCTAAAAAATGAGCGGCAGGGGACAAACCTGGAGTCCCGAAGAGCAAAGATGCCTTTTGAATATATAGGCAGAAGAGAACATTTCTCAACTTCTGGAAAAAGTACACAAGAACACTGAGGTGTTCATATATTCAGCGAAAGAATGAAACAGAATGGGTTCAACCGAACTGTTGAGCAGTGTCGTGTAAAAGTAGAGAAGCTCCGTCAACAATACATAAAAATATGCGACACGTTGCAGAAAAGCGGTAGCTCTTCCGATATTAGAGATAAATTTATTTGGTATGACGATCTCGATAATCTTGAACACAAGACCCATGATGAACCCCATAGACGTAGTCGAGTCCTACGAGGACGAGTCGCCTGCTGCGGAGAGCTGCAGTTCAACCGCTGATGCCGAGGCAGATAACCGCAGTTATTCCGGGGATGCTGAGGACTCCGATAAAAATGGTAAGTTCATAAACTCATATTTCGGCCGTGCAGTGAACAGACATTGATATCTAGGAAATTGATTAATAAGCAACAACTGGAAACCGGGGGGGCGAAACGCATGCCTTTAAACAGCACTGATCTGTTTTTTTTTATCACTTTTGTTCTTTAAAGATTTGGGAATTCTTCGAACATTCAGCTATTTCACGTGTGGCTTACTCGCTTCTTTAAGGTAGCCGAAGTCCAGAAACAAAATGCTTCTTTTGGGTGTGAAATACTTTTGCTAAGAAGATCATGAAGTGCACGTTTGATAAACTGCTTTGCAGGACATTCCAAAAGGACTCGGATAATCCAGTGTTTTATTATTTTTTAAGAGTAACCTATTTCGGCAAGTGAATAAAACATTTATTTATTGGCATTTATTATGTACTCGCCTTAACGTTGCATTAAGAAGGAAGCTGTGTTTTTAACTGTGTATAATTAAATTGTTTAATGTGCGCCGTCTGAGTAGATGTTCACATGCGCGATCTGTTAAAGTCTGTTGATATGCAGTCCACGTCAACACCAACAGGTATAAAATTACCTGGCGATTCTACGTTATGTACAGCAGAAAATGCGCGGGCTGTTTTCTTTTTCCCCGCCTGTCTGACCAATAACTGAACGGCATTTGCGCGCACATGACCTTTGTTTACAATTTATAGTCCGAACCAGCTGAAAAACTAAACATTGTATCATTGTCGCATTTGGTGCGGAGCAAGGAAGTGGACTATTGGGTGTGAACACGACCTAAATCTAAGCCAAAGCGTTATCGGCAGACTCTGGCAGTAGTTCAGGACCACTGATGCCGTTCAGAATTGCCCTCGTTCTGGGAGTCCCCAATGAAAAGCAACACAAGAAGACAGACCACTTCCCTATGATGACAGTATTGCGACAGTATTTTTCGTGACCGCCCAACATCTTCAGGATCTACTCTGAGCTGCCAGAGGCAGCCTCTTTTGAGGCCTTATCCTCTGATGGGTTCCCCCAAAGGCCTACAGCCAAATGTACTAAATGCAAAAAATCTTCACTGCAGATTCACATTCCGTCCAGGATAATTGGAGTTGAAATGGGCTTGAGAAGCTGCTCATCCAGAACAGCAGCTGGAAGCACAGAGTATTAAGGTAGTATTTTACCACTGGTAAGAAAATTATTTTCATAAAACTTTGCTGACTAAGGAGTAGATTGGCGAAAACATTTTTGAAATTGTTAACACGGGGAGTGGCAGGACCCAAATGCAACACAATCAAAACGATCTTTTCTGACTTTTAATGAATTCAAAGCAGTTGTAAACAGAATGCAGAGCAGAGTAACTTCGTGCAGAACAGGATCTGGAGCTTGCAGATCTTGAGTCGAGTTCTTCCGGGAACTCAAGGGAGCAGGCGCAGACGGCAGGATTGGAACCTGGGTTGCCCACACAGCAGGCGGGAGCATTTCCACTGGGCCACCGGAGCAGGCTGGCTTGAGGCTCGGCAGACTGGGTCGTGTCCACGCAGGCAGGCAGTGGAGCGGCAAGACGGGTGGCTTGGACAGGGGTTTGGAAGAAGGCAGACGGGAACCAGGAAGCACACAGGCAGAACTCAGAGTCAGAGGCAGAAGACAATCAGATTTACCGGGGCAGGAACGAGAGGACGTAGTCAGAGGCAGGCAGAGTCGATTCCAGGAAGTCAGACCAAAGACAAAGGCTGGAGAATAGTGTATGCTGCAATGACAATCTGGCAAAAAGTGAGTGAAACGGAGCTGCTTAATACTGGCTGGGTAATGAGAGTCAGATGAGAGCAATTCCATTCCTTAACAATGACTACTAAATTCCAAGCTCCTGTTAACTGACACAGCTGACTTGGCTTGGTTATGCAAATTTTTTTCCAAATGGCTGCCATGATTCTCCCCACCTCAGGCCATTGTAATAATTTACAATGACATTATTTGAGTTGGCACTAACACAACAGTGAAGTAAAAGCAAATTTCATTAGAAATAAACAACCAGATGTAGGAGATCAGCAGAAGTGGACAAATGATGGGGAGTCACATACATTTTTGCCAGATGGATCAAATTGCTGATCTTCAGCTTCTGCGTGCCCTCTGTCCAGCTCAGAAGGTCACCAAGATATACGCAGGAGCTGATAAACAAATCAGGATGCTGCTGTCCAGACTGAGGACCCAGCCTATGTGCAGCCCACTGCCTGTATAGTGCTGCTAACCTCACTCAGCAATGAAGATACAAGTACTGCTATCAGCTCATTACTTTTTTTTGTTGATATAATCTCTGCACATGCTGCTGATGTTGTACGTTGCTACTTTCCACAAGCCTGAATTCACATGCATCTGCAGTGTGTAAATAATGTGAAGTGAGGCTCTTAACTTTGTGGCAAAGTAATGTTTATGCTAGAATTTACATACCATCTGATGTGATGATGATTCAACTTGTATACAGTGCCGTGAGTATTTGCCCCCTTCCCGATTTCTTATGTTTTTGCATATTTGTCACACTTAAATGATTCAGATCATCAAACAAATTTTAACCTAAGACAAAGATAACCCAAGTAAACAGAAAACGCAGTTTTTAAATGATGATTTCATTTATTGAGGGAAAAAAGCTATCCTAACCTACCTGGCCCTGTGTGAAAAAGTAATTGCCCCCCTTATTAAATCATTAATTAACTGTGATAAACCACATTTGTTGAGTTCAATTTCACTATCCACACCCAGGCCTGATTACTGCAAGACCTGTTTAATCAAGAAATCACTTAAATAGAACCTGTCAGACAAAGTGAAGTAGGCTGAAAGCTCTCAAAGCGCAACACATCATGCCGCAATCAAAAGAATTTCAAAAACAGATGAAAAACAAAATCATTGACATCGATCAGTCTGGAAAAGGTTACAAAGCTGTTTCTAAGGCTTTGGGACTCCAGCAAACCACAGTGAGCGCCATTATCCACAAATGGAGAAAGCTTGGAACAGTGGTGAACCTTCCCAGGGGTGGCTAGCCTACCAAAATTACTCCAAGAGCGCATCGACGACTCATCCAGGAGGTCACAAAAGAACCCAGAACAACATTTAAAGAACTGCAGGCCTCACTTGCCTTAGTTAAAGTCAGTGTTCATAATTCAACAATAAGAAAGAGACTGGGCAAAAATGGCATCCATGGGAGAGTTCCAAGGTGAAAACCACTGCTGACCGAAAAGAACACAAAGGCTCGTCTCACATTTGCCAAAAAAAAAATCTTGACGATCTCCAAGACTTTTGGGAAATTTTTTCTGTTGACTGACAAGACAAAAGCTGAACTTTTTGGTAGGTGTGCATCCTGTTACATCTGGTGTAAAACTAACACAGCATTTCATGAAAAGAACATCATACCAACAGTCAAACATGGTGGTGGTATTGTGATAGTCTGGGGCTGCTTTGTTGCTTCAGGACCTGGATGACTTGCCGTAATTGATGGAACCATTAATTCTGCGCTCTAGCAGAAAATCCTGAAGGAGAATGTCCGGCCATAAGTTTGTGACCTCAAGCTCAAGCACACTTGGATTATGCAGCAGGACAATGATCCAAAACACACCAGCAGGTCCACCTCTGAATGGTTAAAAAAAAAAACAAAATGAAGGTTTTGGAAAACCCTTCAATATGGCTGAATTAAAACAATTCTGCAAGGAAGAGTGGTCCAAAATTCCTCCGCACCGATGTGAAAGACTGATTGCCAGTTATGGCAATTTCTATTTACTCGGGTTATCTTTGTCTAATATTAAAATTTGTTTGATATTCTGAAACCTTTAAGTGTGGCAAATATGCAAAAACATAAGAAATCAGGAAGGGGGCAAATACTTTTTCACGACACTGTACATTAAAAGTGATTTAACCAAAAACTAACTTTTGAACCAGTCACACACTTGCATGTGAATTCAGGCTCAAGGAAACAGTGCCCTGCAACTACAGCAGCGTGTGAAGTGATATAAACAACTTGGATTGCAAATCTGATTGTAACAAAAATCAGCATACATGATCCCCCAGGATTGAGTTTGACAAATATTGTTGATTAACCCCTCCACAATGACTCATGCCTAACTTACAATACTTTCACACAAATGCAACAATTGTACCAGGTCATATGAATATTTGTAATGCCCCTCCCCTTTGGCATGCCGGAGCCTCAGCTACCTGCCCTTATCCAATTATTTAATTAAGCCTCTATTCTCTCAGTTAATTATGTCACCTGGTTCTCTTTAGTTCATTATGGCTCCCTTTTCTATTTAAACCTTAGTTTTCCCCTTATAGGCAGGTAGCCTTACCCAGGATTTACACCAGATGCATGTTCGGTCCGCTTCCGCCCTGCCGCGTGTTTGATCCGTGCTTTGTCGTCCGTCCACACCCCGCCAGTTGCAAAGGCAACAGCCTTGATTCTTTACCGAAAGGGTTGAGGAATGGTTCACTTGCTTCGATTTGTTTATTTTTTCGAGATTTTGTGCTTCTACCATGGAAAAGTAGCCGATTTATTAAATGGTTTTTATTACCTGTTTGTGTTGCATTTGTCATTGGTTTGGAAAGCGTTCTGTCGATAAAGTTTAGCCTACATATTTTCTTACTTCGGTTGTCAGTGAAATGATCGAGCTGGAAACAATAAATCAGTGGCATGTACCCCAGAAAAAGTCGTGCAGCACATCGCACGACGAGCCAAAAATGAGTTTCCAGCTTTGGGTAGTTTTACCCTTGTCTCATCTTCCTCTCCACTTTTACTCCCATTAGTGGGCTTTTTCTTCGAGTGCATTTTCAGTGATGTTAAGACGCTAAGAAGGGCTGCTATACCCTAGCTAATCAAAATAGCTTCCTTTACTATGGAGTACTCCTTGGATATTTGAGTGATCTTTTTTTTTTTCTCATAAAACTTGACAAAAAGAAAGCAAGATATTTCCCATCACATCAAGAGAAAGTATGCAGCGTAATCACCGATTCCAATAAAAAAAGCAATTATCTAACGTACATCTAATGGAGGCCTGACATAGCCTATATTTATTTGATTATTAAACACTGATAGATGTTACTGTCCTTGACTGAGATTCATTTAGCTTTGCTGTTGTTTATAGGCTATAACAAGAAAACTTTCCTCTGGATCATGCGAAGTACAGCGCCAGAGAAATCAATCACCCCGCCCCGATTATAATTGCCTGTCTTTGATTATTGAGACAACCACGCTGATCATTGCCCCACAGCCTCAGATTCGATTCATCCACGAATACCTAGCACACGCAGGTTCGGATGCCACAGCACCCTCGGTGTTTCCATCACTAGTGGGCAGGTTTTTCCCAATATCAGTGACGACCAACGCAGAAAATTCCTGTGAATTGGCCATGCCAGGGCGCAAATCAAAAATGAAAGTTTGCTATTCTGAGAATAACAGAATGGGGGAGCATATTTAAGGTCATTTATGATTTGTTTCTGGCGGTTTTATTGGGCACTGGATGCATTCATTTTAACTGATCTTTGAAAAAAAAGGACTTTCAGGCTGAGTGGTGATCGGTGGATTCAGAGTGCTGGTCGGGGCCGACCTGCGCCAACCAGCTTCGGCAGAACCCTGCCAATATGCATTATCCTTCGAAGTAAATACTACTGATGACATATGGCCACACTCTAAACTCATTCAGTTCCAGTGCAATCATCTGTAGCGCATTCAACCTTGCGCTTAATTTTCTAGGCACTGAGGGGAATGATGGATCAACTGAAAAGAAAACATGTGAAAGATATTTTGCAATGTGGGACCAAATTGGATCTGGATTAGCAATATTGCTGGACTACTTGGCCGTCAACACATTGATTTATCTCTGCTAGATTCTTACCAATGCGTAAGCACAGAGAACTCCCAAGTCTCAAAACTTGTAAGCTGAAAATTTGAAATCAATAGTAGTTTATAATCATCGCCATGCAATGGTAGCAATGTCGTTTTAGTTGTGGGAGAAATGCGTGGCATCATTTCATCATTGATGGGAGGCTATTAGACAGTGTGGTCATATGCAAATCCTTCGTTTTGTCATTTGGTAATATAAGATTCCTATTGCGGTAAGTGCTTGCTAGATAATAAGAGATTCTTATCTGTGATTTCCAAAGTATCTCCAAAAGAGAAATTTGGAGGGGAGAAGCGTGATGAATTCAGATGCTGTTATACCAGGGTACTGCATGAATAAGCAGTTCGTACCATATCATCTTCTTTGGCATGTACAAAAATGCTGAGCAAGCCCAGTTAACTGTGGTTTTTGATCAAAACAAGTGTAAAAGATCTAAGTAACTATCTAATCTAAGTAAGATCTAAATAACTTTGAAAGAGAATTCATTGTTGAGGCACAGAGCTTCAGTAATAAAGATGGCTCAACCTGCTTGCATTTCAACTGTAACAGTTAATAAAGCAATATAAGCATTTACAGTCCGGCCCATAAATATATAGTTATTGAAAAAGTTATGTAAGCAT